CCCAAAACCCCCCCTTCCAGTGCCAATCCAGACAACCGGGGTGCCAATCTGCTCCTCTTTCAAATAGCTATCAAGCTGCAGACTTAGCGTAATGAAATATTGAGTCCCAGCAGAGTTATTAGGCAAAAAATGAAGAGCGGACGCCCATGCATTCCTGCCCTACCAGGTACCCAGAACTGGCATGTGAGTCCACAAATTGCCCTCCTGATTTCAGCAAGCAAGAACACATCATGTATTGTCACTATCCTGGGAGGTTGGATTGATATGCTGCATGTTTGCCTTCACACCCCTTGCTGCTCAGACCCTTGCGCGCTTGGCACTGACTCCCAGCTATGCACACAGACCCACCATTATACTCAATTTGCACAAAAAGGTGCCAATCGACAGCTCTTGAGGCCAGGAATCCAACGATATATTTGAATTCCTGTAGAAGTGGCTCCAAAAAATTCTAGAGGGGGGGTCCCAAAAAGTCGGAACCTCCCCGACCCTTTTTGATCGGATCTCAATCGATAGCTCTTGAGCTCAGGATTCCGATAATTTAGTTTTAATTCGGATTGGTGCCTCGGCCCTAGGTATCCCCTTTTTCTTGATTGATGTGGGGAGTGTGTTCACTGCCTGTGTAGTTTTTCTTTTCTTTTAATTCGGATTGACAGTTGCCGTCCAAAAGTTACACGAACTCTATCTTCCTACGGGTACCCTAAAATCTGACGTCGGGATTGTAAATGGAGTGTTAGGGTAATCGCATTTCTTGAATTTTCGATTACCCTGTACCCGGCGTGATGTAACAGGGCCTTGTATGTAAATAGGAAAAAGTGCGTGATGCTTGTACAAATGTTATATCCAAAAAATACGCCTGCCGAGAATCGAACTCGGGTCTCCTCCGTGGCAGAGAGGTATTCTGCCACTAGACCACAGGCGCTGATTCATATGATCATACGTATATTTCATTAATATATAAAATTATAACAAAGATTAGACACTCATGACTGTTGGCATTAGACACTCATGACAGAACAATGGCCATGGCCAACAATGGCCAAAGCGCTAAAGACAAAGCTAAGTCACACTGAATCAAAATTCAGCTACACCGCTAACACGTCCTATCCAGGCCATACCAATGTGCAAGCCCAGGTGATGCATATGTACCTGCCAGGTTCATTCAGAGTGGTGTTGCCAGTCTGCCCTTTGTCCCCAAAGATGTTGATGTACACCTTAGCATCAGACCCTGCAGGGTGAGCCATGCAAGAAAAGAAAGGGTTACAAGGGTTATACAGCTCTACCTGCCTGCGGGGCCAGCTTCGCCTAGAGCTTAAGCCGTTCCTGTAACCAGACCAGAACAATCTGAAAAACAAAGCTTGAAGCTCGGTCGCAGCATTTTTGCATACAGAGACAAAGGTGGCTAATCCTAAGACATTAGCTTGGTTCATTATGTCTCTGAGATGACGCAAAGAGCAAGTTGCCGGGAAACCCCAGTGCAATGCACATTCCTTAGTTGTATTGAACTGGTTAATCACATGCACCAGGAACTCCCTCTGCTCTGATGCTTGAGCACACCAAGAGCTGGTGTCTGATCACTGCAGGCAGCCATATGCTCCCTTCCACTAATTGATTCAGGAATGCTTTCACTGTGTACATACTCGTTCTTCACAGTTCTTCCGATCCTACTGCCGCTGGCCCTTGGTGTAGCCTTTTGTGTTAAGGAATAGAGCGCGCCTTCAAAACCTTCCTAGTTTTGTTTTCTTTTCCCCTCTCAACTGTGACGGACATACAGAAGCCGCTTGAAGCAAGGCCGTGTGCATTCCACTTGCATGGACTCCTCATATCTTCAATGCAATCCTTCCTGCAGTGTCTCAGCCTGGCAATAGCCTTCAGCTGAACGCCTATTTTCTCCATCCAATTGTAATGGACAGACAGAAACTGCTTGAAGCAAAGCAGTGTGCACTCCACTTGCATTGGCTCCTCATGGCTTTAATGCAATCCTTCCTGTATCTCAGCCTGGCAATAGTCTTCAGCTGTGCGAAGGATGTACTATCTATCAAATCTTGCATGTGGGCAATTTTCTGCACAGCTTGAAGGTATTCCTGGCCAGCGCAAATGAAGTGTTGAGTAAGGGCAAAAGGAAAAAGGATCACTTATCATCCATGCCAGCCATACTGGTTTTCGTTTTCAATCTAAGAATGCAATGTTCATTGCTCGATTTGATCCCGTCCAACCCCAGCAATGCTTGCCATCATCTTTACTCACGACTGACCTCAACCGCGCAAGTGAATTTTTCCACAGCAAGGCCTTGCTGGTCAGCCCATGCATAAGTATTGCTTGATGACGGGAGGAAAAAATCACATACCATCCGTGCCAGCTATGTCGGATCTTGTTTTAACCCCAAGGAAGCATGGCACAATGCTTGAATTGATGTTAATCACCGCCAATCAGGCGCCACAACCCTGTGTGATATCCTGCCTTTTGCCAGCCAGGCCACCTCTGCCCATTCTGAGAACACCTCCTGAAAGCTAGTAAAAAAAGCAATTTTTCAGTGCTGAGCTGGTCTCATTTGGTGAAGCATGCTGTGCGCAAGGCCTGCATGTTTGCGCGCTCAGCCAGCAAAACTCAACCCCTGTGTGCCCTAACCCTCCAGCTGCAACCCCAAGCCTGCAAGTGGACCCCAGGATGGTCCCTGAGTGCACTGATGGCCACCTGATGCGAGCTGGCAGGGGGCCGTCCGGGGGGCTCTCCAAAGCCAGCCGAGAGGAGTGATGATGATACAGAACGGCTTTCTATTAATATTTTATGAAATTTTGGCGCTTCAGCGGAGTGTTGGGACGGGTCCCGGATTTCAAACGCTTATACCTTTCAAAACTCCGCTGGCAGGCAGCATATGAGATAAAAGGCGCTGTTTTTATTTTATTTTGGAGGGACTAATGCCAAGGCTTTTCACGGACAGAAATCCCGCACCTGGACTCGAATCCAAGATTGGGCTCGCATTAAATTTCTTAAAATGTCATCAAAAGTAAGTTGTAGGATGTGTGCCCACAAGCAAAAATTTGTGAGTATTAAGCTCCAGCAACTCTGAGGAGCCCAGCCGCTCCTCCCAGGCGTCCATCTTCACAGCCCGTGGCGTCAGTGTTGATGATGACAACCCCAGGCATCGGCCAGGACGGACAGCAGGCGCGGAGGTGGCCTATCGGGGCTTGGCCAGAGCTCCCTGGGTATGCGTGCCTGTCCGTGCGATGAAAATCCGACGAGCATCAGGGGTCCTCCCGACAACCCAAAATCACTCGCAATATTACCAGCAGGCTGCCCAAGCACTTGCTGCTGCAGTTTGGGCCTGAGCAGGGTCCCTTAAAAAATGGCCATTCCCAGGGGTGACCAAGAAGTGCAGGTATGGGGCACAACTGATGCTCCTTAACTACTAAACTATTATTAGAGAAACACATGTTGCCTCAAAACATGCACTGGTGTGCCCAAGTAAGAGAAATGCATGTTTTTAATGCACTGAGCTCCACCTGAGCCACATCCAGGTGTCACCAACATGCCAAACCAATCCTCTAATTCAAATGAGCAACTTTCCCTACTCAGAAGTGGTTTGAAAGTGTCCGGCAGTATATCACCCAAATTTGGCACAGGTTGTGGCGCCAGACCACTAGTTTTTTTTTACCTTGTACTCACCACCGCTCTGCCCGAAGAAACTTCTGATCCTTTTCCTGCTCTCCTCAACGCTCCTTGAAAAAATTTAACTGACGGAGTGCTAGACGAGTCTAAGAGCCGAAGGCAACCTAAGGTACTTCGACCTTCTTTCACCCAGCCCTTTGAGACCCCGAACCCAATTTTACGGCTTTCAAAACTTGCATAAAACCTGGATTTTATAGCAAAAGCTACATTACAGCGCCAAAAATGAAACACTAGTGTATGGGCTGCGCAGGAGATACAAGGGCTTGTTCATTGATCTTTTCAAACCATTACATACTTATCCAGCTTCCAAACACTGACTTCTTTCCTTGCTTGGCAAGCTTTTGCGGTTTGACTGATGTTGAGGTCAATGCTTTTCTAAAATAAGATTGGAACAGGTTTCCAATTTTTCTCCAGCACACCCAGCGACAACAGCAGCTCCAGCAGGTCGCAAGCATAACGAGTTCAAGCTGCAAAACCACCCTCCCCTGTCGACAGCAGCAAGAGCACTTGGGCAGCACGTGGCAGGTCAAGCAGCAAGCGTAGAACAACGCTCGCACCGAGCTCGACCACGCCATTTTGCCCAAGCGATTCAAGCAGGAGGGCACCTGTTGCGCCCTTATGCACCGTGTGCGTACATAAGAGGTTAGGGGCTGCCCTGTGGGTAGCTGCCCTGAAAGCACTTTCATGGGTAGCTGCCCTGAAAGCAATTCCATGGGTAGCTGCCCTGAAAGCCTTCTTAGCTGAAGATCTTCAGGTCTAGACCTGGACTGTGGGACGGCAGAGTGACCAGTTCAGAGCTATCCAAGGGATCCTTTTTAGATGGTTTCATCCAAGCTTGTGAATGTGGCTTGAGAGGAGCAAACATGAATGCCAAACATCTCTTATAATTCAAGTAAGCATGGAACTTTGCATGAGCATGTGCTTTCAGGCTGTTGCTGCAGCTCCTTTCATGTCATGAAACATTTCATAGGGTTTTTGAGCTTTGAGTAAACTGTTTTCCAAACATCGTGCAAATCTGCATCTGACCATCTTTCTTCTTGCTCTTGGTGTCTGAATATCTGGAGTTTCGAGTCAAACATATGAGCATTTTGGTCAAGACTTCTTGTGCCATTTTCTCATTGCTTACTTAGAGAACCTCTGCTTTCCGTGGTATTTTGCGCGCTTGTTTCTCAACAGTTGACGTTTCTGTTTGCGTTTTTGTGAAGACTTGTCTAGTTCCAAGTCTGTGTTTCCGCTCAGCTGCCCTTGTAGGCGGATATAGCGATGTAACCTTACCTTTCAACTTTTGTCAGAATTGGTTCCAATTTTTTGATGCTGGCTGAGAACGTTTCACCAGCAGCCGATCAGCTAGAGTCTCAGGCTGTAGGCCAATTATATGTAACCTCAACCTTTGCCTGACATGCTGTTACGATGTTGTGTGACATGATGTTACGATGTTGTGTGACATGCTGTGCGATGTTATGATGTTGTGTGACATGCTGTTACGATACCATCCCTAGGCAGGCACTCTGGCAGCACCTGCAACGCACACGCATGCCCACTCCTCTCTTGTCCATCATTAAAAACATGTACGATGCTGATGAGTATATTTTGAGGGATGGACAGAAGGCTGCTCGGGTGAACCCTAACACGGGTGTAAAGCAGGGGTGCCYTTTATCCCCTCTGCTTTTTTCTCTGTATGTGAATGACATTGATGAAATTGCGGAAAGGGTGCAAGGTGCTGTCACGGGTACAGCTGAGTTCCATGTGACGCACATGTTGTACGCTGATGACCTGACTCTGATGGCCAATGATCCTCATGCTTTGCAGGCCATGCTGAACCGCTTGCATGCATATGCTCAGCGGAAGCACTTAATCATCAACACCGCTAAGTGAGGTAGTTCACTTCAATTCCTCAGACTCAGATCTGCCTGTTTTTAATGTTGGGGGGGTGCCACTGGCACACAAGGAGTCTTTTAAGTACATCGGCATGGCGTTTCACAAGCGGATGAGCATGACTAAGTCCTCCGAGCATGCTACTGGTCCGTTCATGGCGTCTGCTTTTTGGGTCCGTCAATTTGTTTGTGAGCACTCTCTGGTAAATAGGCCATATGTCTCTCTGTGGCTCGGGAAGACGTATGTGGTTCCGGCTGGACTGTATGCAGGGCAGGTGTGGGGAACTGAGTACATTAAAGAGGGCAAGGAGTTTGCGAGTGACCTGCAAGTGCGGCACATGAGTTATCTAAAAAGCACGATGGGTGTCAAACGTACCAC